AGCAGCCCCAGTGTGGGCTTCGGTCATCCGAGGGACACCAGGACCTCCTTGCACACTGACCTGGGGATCATCCTCCCTGGTGTCTGCAGTTAGCGCCCATGCCAGGGAAGACCCATGGAGTGAATGCCAAGCCGCTGAGAGGTGAGGATCACCCACACCAACAGCCCTGGCACTAAACCACAAGGCAAGGCCATGGGCACTCACGACTCCATGGTCACAGGCAGGCCTGGGATGCACCCTCACCGAGGCCAGTGGTAACCTGAGCGGCCTGCTTCCCAGACTGTGCCTGTCTGTAGTTGTCTGGGAAAGCCTGGTGCCCACAGCAGCCCCCAAAGCAAAGTGGACTAAAAGCCCCGAAGCTAGAGGCCAAGCCATCTCCGTGAGGAGGTCTAGGGAGCCCACTCCTGGGAATACCATGCCAGCCTTCTTCATTCCCTCCTTCGCCATGGCTTTCCCTCTCTGTGTGTGCCCCAGGACTTGGACTCACACACTCCACCACCCACCCACGGGTCCATGCACCCAACGAACACACAAACACACAATCACACACACAAACAGACACACCACGCCCATCAGACCTTCTTCAGCAGGGTGGACCCAGGGCACTCGGGAAGCCTGGGCTAGTGCTTTGATGGTGCTGGCCTTCTGACATGAGCTTGGGCCCCACAGCCCAGCTGGGGCTCAAGCTGTGCTCACATTTCCACTTGTCTTCTTTGGGAGCAGTGAGCTTCCCTTTTCTCCAGAGGGCAAGCCAAGAGGATGACCTTGTGAAGGCAGGACACAGGGATGCTTCTCTGGCAAGGGGCACACATACACACACACACACACACAGCAAGGGCCCAATGGCCAGCCTGCCGCAGGTGGATGAGCATGGTGGGCTGCCGTCATGCTTCTGATTGCTGAGGATTCACATGGGGGATCAGAGCTGGGGTGGAGGCCAATGGCGCTGGCAGTGGCAGTTGCAGTGGAGTGTGGTGAGAGGACTCAGGAGAGGGAGGCTGAGAGAGTGGGGTGCAGAACAGTCATTTTCACTTGCACTGAAATCCACTGCCACCAAGGGCAACAGCAAGGAGACAGGAGTGGTGGGCTACACTGTGGGGGACACGCCCCAGTCCTGGGATGGAACTCAGTCAGGCCCAAGGGACTGTACCTGGTATCCTCACTCAGAGACAGAAAGCCTTGCATGGCCAGGCAGGCCCAGGCTTACTCCTTGATCTCTGCCCACCTGATGAGCTTTGCAAGCCCACAGTGAAAGCCCTGTGGCTGCCGTTTGCAAATCTATGCCTGGCTGGGGCATCGCAGAGCCTTCCCCAATCACTGGGAAGTGTGGCCCACCTTGAGCTGCCCTCCCAGCAGGGCAGTTCTGTTAGGGTGTAGCTGAGTGAAATGGCAGAGACTTATGTCCTCTTGGCTGCTGGAGTGCGGTACATGCTGTGGGATGTGGTTTTTGGAGTGTGCGTGGAGTCCCATGGTTCCCTCCGGGCCAGGTTTCTTCATGAAGCTGGCCGGTCAGGGCTTGCGACCAGCTTCTGAGGCCACCACTCTGCTTGGGGGACAGAGGCACCCTTCTCTTCAAGAAGCAGGGCTCTGAGGGAAAAGGCCGGAGCAGTTGAGGACACCTGTGTGGGCCCGAGCAGGAAGCCAGACCTGCTGCCAAGGGAAAGTTTTGCTGAGAGGGACCCCTGCACGGGAGCAGGTGTGCAGCCTGCCTTCCAGAGCTGCTTCCACAGAGGGAGGCCAGTGCGGAAAAGCCCTGACATGGAGTGAGCCAGGCCACAGAGCACAGGGAGCCCTGTTGCCCAGCAGCACCTGAAAACTCACAGGTGGGCAATAGCCCCTGCCCATTCAGAGACCGTCCTGATATGGTGCTCATCACCTGGGGAGCATCTCAGGCCTCAGTGGAGTGGCCCGCTTGCAGCTCTTCTTGGACAAAGAGGTGGACTGCTGAAGAGAGCTGGCTGGTGGGCAACATTTTGCCCAAGGGCCCCATCTGTGCATCTGCAGCTCAGGTGTGTGCCTTTGACATTACCTCCAGCATCCTGCCTCAGAGGGCAACCTGAAAACTGCCTCGCCCTTCGGCCTAGGGTTAAGGCACTAAGGGTTTTGATTTCTCTGACTGTGTGGGTGGTATTTTCTGTTCTTTCTGTCCCCACTTCTTTGTATGAGTGAGGTTTCCAGCTGGTGGGGTCCCACTTGAGGTTTTCTAGAGCTTCCCTCCACCACGCCACAGCCGGGAGCACAGGAGACCTGTGCATCCTGCCAGGCCCCAGGAGCCTGAGGCCAGGCTGCAAATCTCACGCAAGGCCTGGCTCAGCTCTTGCGAGATTGTGTGAGATCTGGAAGCCTGTGGCCAGGGAATGGCCTGGGGGTTCTTGCGTGGAGGCAGACCTGCAGCACATGTGGTTCCTGGCAAGCCAAGCCAGCTGCCCGGATCTCATGGAATCTCCTGGCATCTAGCGGGACTGGGGCTGAGCTGGGCTCAGCAGGGCTATCCATCAGGACCCCAACCCGAGAGCCAGCCCAGCCTCAAATCTCACATGTGCCTTGCTCATCTGTCGCAATATCTGTCCACCTGAGCCTCCTGGGGCTGGCCATGATGTCGGCCCGTGACCCTGTGGCTGGGAAACAGCCTGGGAGTTCTTGCGTGGAGACCGAACTGCAGCACATGTGGTTCGCGGCAGGCTAATTAGGCTTAGACGGCTGCCCTGATATCGCGGAACCTCTAGACATCTTATGGGGCTGTGAAGAGCTGGGCTCGGTGTGTCTCTTGAGATCATTGGTAGGTCTCACATGAAGATCCGGACTCAGGGCTCCTGTGACCTGCCAGTCCAATGCAGGCATTGGGCCCAGATGATCACAAAGACTCCTATGGCGTGAATGGTCTCTGCAGTGCCTAATGAGAACCAATTACTGGCCTGATGGAATGTCAAGGCTGTGGCTGCCCTCCCGTGGTGGACATGCTGTTGTCAGGATGTCCCGTGAGCTAGGGCTTGATAACCAGCATACCATAATAGGACACTCGTGCTTGGACGAAATCTCAGTTCTGATCATATGGATTCCTTTGGAGTATCCAGAGGTGGTGTGAAGGGCAGGAGCAGCAGAGTGGGTGAGAGGACTCAGCAGAGAGAAGGAGAGTTAGGTGCAGAACAGGCAGGTCCACTTCCACTCAAGCCCACTGCTAAGGGCAATAGCAAGGAGACAGGAGAAGTCGGCTGCACTGTGGGGGACAGCTCCCCAGGCCTGGAGTCAAATTCAGGCAGGGACAAGTGACTGGAACTTGTTTCCTCACTCAAGACTGAAAGCCCTGAAGTGGCAGGCAGGCTCAGGCTGATGGTGGGGCTCTTGGAGATGCACTCGTCCTGGATCTCTTCCTGAAGAGCTTTTTAATTCCTCAGGGAAACCCCTGTGGCTGCCATTAGCATGGGTCTGCCTGGCTGGGCTTCCAAGAGCCTTCCCCAGTCACTGGTAACTGTGGCCAGCCTTCAGCAGACCACCTGTGGTTTCTTAGTTAGGGTCTGGCTTAATCCAATTTGAGGGTCTTTGTTATCTTATCTTCACTTATAGTGTTTGCATTTGTTCCATGTGGTCTGATGTGGTTTTTTGGAGTTATTGCGGAGTCCTGCAGTTCATCTGGGACAGGTTTATTCCTGAAGCTGGCCTGTCATGGCTCACGACCAGCTTTGGAGGTGACTTTCTCCATGCGACAGAGATGCCCTTCTCTGAAATGAGCAGGTCTCTTAGGCAAAAGGTCAGAGAAATGGAAGGACTCATATGCGGGCACCATATGAGCAAAAGCTGCTCCCATGGAAAAGGTGTGCTGAGAGACACCTGCATGGGTATAGGCTTTCAGCCTGCCTTAGAGTGCTGCCTTCACAGAGGGAGGACAGTGCACAGAAGCCCCGGCATGGAGTGATCCAGGCTGCCCTTCAGAGGGAGAGAGGGTGGCAAGGTGTACCCGAAAATTCACAGGTGGGCAAAAGACTGCTGCACCGTGCCCATGCCGAGCCAGCCCTGCTATCATCCTGACCACCTGTACAGGTTATCAGGCTTCTGTGGAGTGGCCTGCTTGCTGCTGCTCTTGGACAACTAGGTGGGCTCAACTGGAGACCTGGCTTGTTGTCATCATTTTCCCAATGGGCCCCATGTCTGCATCTGGACCCTCCCTCAGGTCTGTGCCTGTGACATTCCCTACTGCGGTGTGCTGGAGCATCCTGAGAACTGCTTGGCCCTTCGGTCAAGGGTTAAGGCACAAAGAATTTTGATTTTCACAATGGTGTTGAGTTCCTTCTGTCCCCACCTGCTTGCACACATGAGGTTTTCAGCTGGTGAGGTCCTGCTTCAGGTTTTCTAAAGCTTCCATGCAGCACGCAGCAGCCACATGCAGGTGAGACCTATGAATCGCACTGTGCCACAGGGCCAGGCCACAAATCTCATGAAAGGGCTGGCTCAACTCTAGCAAGATCTCAGCACCCAGGCATCACAGTGCCAGCCAAGGTGACGGCCAGGACCCTGTGGTGTGAGTTTGGCCTGGGGTTTCTTGGGTGGAGGCAGACCTGCAGCACATGTGGCTGGCAGGCGGCCTAATCAGGGCAAGCCAGCTGCCAGGATCTCGCGCCATCTCGTGGCATCTCGCGGGGCTGGGGAGTGCTGGACTCGGCAGGTCTTCTGAGAACATCGGCAGGTCTCAGGAGACAATGGAGCCTCAGGGCCCCGTGAACTGCCAGCCCGATGCAGCCAGCGAGCTGCATCGCTGATCACAAGAAAGTCTGTAGTGGGAATGGGCTCTGATGCACCTAGTGAGACCCAAGAACTGGCGTGATGGAGTGTCAACGCTGTGGCCGCCCTCCCATGGTGGACGTGCTGCTGTCTGTTGGGAACCCAGCCCGTGAGCTGTCCCTTTTCAGGGCCGCTGCTGTCCCATCCTCCTCCCACATCTTTCCTGGTCTGTGATGGACAGACGAGTTGATTCACCTGCGTGCATGTAAGAGAACATCTAGGGTATGGAGATGCCACCCAGGGGCTGGAGCGGTGGTAGTGGAGGAACCAGTGGTGGAAGCTGCCTGGACAGCTGGGTAGAGCCAGGATCACAGCTGTGGCAATGGCACCTGCTTGGGCATGCTACAACAATGGTGTGGCTGGGGCGGGGCTGCAGCGCTGGTGCCGCTGTGGAGGGGGTTGCTGTGCTGGGGCCGGCAGGCGCAGTGCTGGATTTACTGGTGTGCCCCTTTAATGTCATCCAATTGCTTCCACCTGGCCCTGACAAGGTGAGATAAAAATATCCTCATTCCTTTCCTGTTTATATATGTATATTTTTAGGCATAAAAATTAAGAGTTCTCTTTATTTTCCTTCATACTTCTATCTCAGAAAGGCATATCCTGGAGTTATACTTTTATCTGAAAACTCAGAAATAGTAGCCATTGCTGTCCTCATGTCTATCCTGTGTTCCCATTTCTCTGGTCCGATGCATTTAATTCTCCCTCTTATTTATTCTAGAAGGTTTTAAGTTTTTACAGGTCTAATAAATCAATGTTTTACTTTCTTTAGAATCAAAATTAGGAAGACTTCATTCCAATATTTGAACATGTTCACTTGTGTTTTCTTTTACTTCTTTCAGAAGGTCTAACACATATTATCTCCATTTTGGGAGGGCATGCTAGCTGTGAGTAAAGTTATTTATTTCCAAACACCTTAGTAGTTTAGTTTTCTCAACATATTACTTGACAAAGTATTCTTTATTTACTTAAAAAGATAACCATTTAGGTCCCTCCCTGGTGGCGCAATGGGTTAAAGCACAGCACTAAGAAGCTAAAGCCAAGTCCGCATGAGTTCGATCCCTGGACGAGATCCACATGGCGTGGCAGACCTCTCCTGACCCGCCCGCTGCTCCCCTCAGCAGTGTGCTTAATGATCTGCCTGTTCTGCTCCCTTCTCTGTCTGTGGTGAATCCTCTCACCCTCCGCATCCCTGGCCTGTACCCCAGTTCTGTATGATTAAATAAATCTTTAAAAAAAAGATACCCATTTATCAAACAAATTTTTAAATGTGTATGGGCCTGTTCTGGGCTTTCTTATTGATTCCGTTCTTCTACTATTTGGCACTGCTAATGACCTTTTTTTTTTTTAAAGATTTATTTATTCTTACAGAACTGGGGTACAGGCCAGAGATGTAAAGGGCGAGAGGATTCACCAGAGACAGAGTGGGTAGCAAAACAGGCAGATAGATGAAGTACACTGCTGATGGGAGCAGCGGGCCAGCCAGGAGAGGGCTGATGTGGTCACATCTGGGGCAGGTGGGGATCGAACTCATGTGGAAGTGGCTTAAGCTTCTTTGTGCTGTGCTTTAACCCACTGTGCCACCATGGAGGACCCATGACCATTTTTAATCATTGAAATTTTATCATATTGCAGGACATACATGCCATGGTTATTTCTTTTTCAAAATTTGTTGTTGCCATCTTTCAAATTTGAAACTATACCATATTATGTGAAGGCACCCCAAACCTCATGTATGGATGAACAACTTACATTGTGGACTCTGTGTCTACATTTTGAATTCTTATTTGAAGTAGGGCTTTGGAAAAGCTCAATCTTGTACCTCAGTTCGGGTGCCTTTTGAGCACTTCTAAACAGACTTGATTCTTCCTGTTTTGAATTCTCATCAGACCAATTCTTTGTAGAGTGGAAGTGTGAAGGTTTGGTAATACAGGGTGCAGTAATTGTAGTC